GATGTGCCTGCCCTCCCTGCCACCACCTAACAGGGCTCTGCTTTGCAGGCTGGGTGGGGGAGCTGGACGACTTCGCCCTGCACGGGGGCTGCCTGGTCACCCAAGGCACCAAGTGGATCGCCAACAACTGGATCAACGTGGACCCCAACCGCCGGCGGCAGCAGCAGTTCCAGCAGGAGATGGAGCGCTTCGCAGGGGCTGAGGGGGGGGCTGGGGCCGGAGCCCCGGGCGAGTGGACAGTGGACAAGGCCTACAGCGGGGTGCACCTGGAGCTCTAGTGCCGGGGCGCCACCGCGCGCACGTGACCTCTTCCCGCGCTGGGCGGGGGGGCGGGGCCGCGAGCCATGTGCGCGGCGGGGCCGCGTCGCGCGCCAATAAAGCGTGAGAGATGGGCGCCGCCTGCGCGTGCTGTGGGGCGGGGCGACGGGGCTGACCAATGAACAGCGGGCRGGGCGGGGCCACGTGGCGCTCGGCCAATGAGCGCCGGGGGGAGCGGCGGCGGGGCCGGTGCCGCCAAGATGGAGTCGGTAGCGCTCGTGGCACCGGTGACGGCGCTGGAGTTCGTGGGGGACGTGCTGCTGGCGGGTGAGCGGCGGGAACGGGACAGGACGGGGTGGGGCGGGCTGCGGGACCAGTGGCAGCGGCTGACGCGGTGTCCCGCAGGTACGGGCCCGGAGGTGGTGGCGTTCCGGCTCAGCGGCAGCGGGCCAGCGGCGGCGGCGGGCCGGCGGAGTGTCCTGCGTGAGGCCAGCGTGCAGGGACTGCGGGCCGAGCCGGGCCCCGGGCCGGCGGTGCGAGTAGCCGTCTTCGGTGGGCGGTGGCTGGCCGTGCTGGCGGTGCGGCGCGGCGGGGCGGACGGCGGGTCACGGCTGGCGGCGTGCGGCGGCGGGGCCGCGCGGGAGCTTGGGGTGCGGGTGTGGGAGGCGCGGTGGGCGGCGGGCGGGCGGCTGGCGCTGGCGCTGGGCAGCGGGACCGTGGCGCTTTACGAGTGGCGGGGCGGGGGGCGCTGGCTGCGGCGRGCGAGCTGTGGCGGGGCCGGGGCGCTACGCTGCGCCGTGCTGGCGGGAGCGTGCTGGTCGCGGCTGGCGCTGGCGGCCGGCACGGCGATGGGGGCCGTGGTGGTGTGGCGCGCAGCGGCGGCGAACGCTCCGCAGCGGCAGCTKCGTGGGCACCGGGGCTCGGTACTGGCTATCTGCTACGCGGCGTCGCGGGGACTGCTCGCCTCCGCCTCCGAGGACCGCAGCGTGCGGCTCTGGGCCGTGGGCGAGTTGGGCGGCGGAGACGCGGACGGGACCGGCAGCTGCCTCCTGGTGTGCTACGGCCACAGGGCGCGAGTGGCCGCCGTGGTGCTGCGGGGGCCGCTCCCGGTCAGCGCCGGAGAGGACGGCGCCTGCCTGGAGTGGGGCGGCGACGGCAGCGTGCAGCAGGCTCGACGCGGGCACCGAGGCGCCCTGCGTGCCCTGGCCCTGCGCCCCGCCGGCGGCTGCCTGGCCACGGGCGGCGACGACGGCGGCGTCCGGCTCTGGCGGCCCCTGCGGGTGGCTCCGGAGGCGGCCCCGGTGGTTGCGGCACTGGGGGCCCCGGAGCGGCCGCGGGCCGTGCTGCTGGCGGGGCCGCGGAGGGTGCTGATGCTGGGCGAGGCSGGCGGGCTGGCGGCGTTCGAAGCGGCTTCGGGGCGCTGGGCGCCGGTGCTGCCCCCCTCCGCCGGCGGGCCCCGTGCCGTGCTGGCCGCCGCCCCGCTACCCGGTGGGGACGAGGCGCTCTGCGCCCTGGCCGGTGGCGACGGGCGCCTGCTTGTTTTCGCCCTGAGCCTCCCCGGGGCTGCCGCCGAGCTCAGGCTGTTTGAGGGGGCCGTGCACGGGCTGAGCTGGGCCCCCCGCCCCGGGCTGCCCCCTGCCACCGCTGCTGCGCTTCTGGCCTCCGGACCCGACGGGGAGATGCTCTGGCTCGATGTCAACCACCGGCCCGGGCAGGCACCCTKGGTGCAGCTCATGGGTCGGTACCTGCTGCCCCCCTGCAAGCAGCGCTGGCACACCTGTGCCGCCTTCCTGCCCCAGGAAGGTCTCCTGATCTGCGGGGACCGCCGGGGCTCCCTCCTYCTCTTCCCTTGCAGCAGCTCCTCAGAGTGGTCTGCCAATGGTAGTACTGACCTGGTTGTCAAGGACTCCAGCAATGAGTTGGAGCCCTCCTGTTTGTTACACAAAGAGCCTCTTCCTCTTGAGTCCCCRCTGTCAGTGCTCTATGGACTCCACGGGAAGACAGGGGTTACCTCAGTGAMCATCCACAGGGGCTTCATTTACAGCACTGGCCGGGATGGTGTCTACCGCCAGCTCCGCCTGCRGGACCAGCAGCTGGAGGTCCTGTGGAAGCACAGGCCCTGCAAAGGGCTGCAGTGGATTGAGGAGCTGCGCTTCACCCCAGATGGGGACCTGCTTGTGCTGGGCTTTCACGCTGACAACTTTGTGGTGTGGAGCAGYAGGACCAGTGAGAACCTCCACTGCATCCCCTGTGGGGGCGGACATCGCTCCTGGAGTTACTGCAGCAGCCCCTCAGCCGAGGTGTTCACTTTTATCAAGTCTGGGGATGTGATGCTGTACCATTGTGAGGGCAAGCCCTGCGAGCAGCAGGTGCTGCTGCCATCCYTGCATGGRCGGGAGATCACCTGTGTGCGGCGCCTGGGRGCTGTGGAGGTGCCCGGCCATGCCACCCTTAACGTGTTTGTCACCGGCAGTGAGGACACCACGACCTGTGTCCTGGTGCTCAGTGAGCGCTCTCGGGCAGCCGTGCCCCTTGTCCGCCTCAGTGACCACATTTCCAGTGTGAGAACGTTGGCATTCGCCATGGGACCTGGAGATGTGGGCTTTGGTGATGAGGGCTTGTCTGCCCTACTCTTCTCTGCTGGTGGCCGGGCACAGATTGAGTGCTATCGGCTGCTGTGCACTGGGGACAGAGCGTCTGAGAGTGCTGTGGCCTGCCAGGTCATCCACGTGGCCTCCCACCGGCTGGACGAGCACTGGGAGCGGAAGAAGAACAGGCACAAACTKGTCAAGATGGACCCAGAGACGAGGTGATGCTCAGGGACTACCCGATACAGGGTTAGTAGTGGCCACAGTGTGGGAGGGTGCTGGGAACTGTATGGGCCTCCACTGGAATACCTGCTCTGTGCAGCTACAGGCTCAGCAGAGGCAGACAGGACCAGTGTGGCTTGATGTGTGATTCTTGGTGGACAGTGCCCTGTGGGCCTCAAGGGGATTTTGGGCTTAGGGAAAGGCTCAGGGCTGCTCCCCTGGGTCACCCACATCCCTGGGGCCACAGATGTTAGTGAGGGTCATGTTGTTGCTGCAGGTACATGTCCCTATCAGTTGTGYCTGGAACCAGCACCAAGCAGCAGCCAACACGCTGGAAGTTCCTGGCTGCTGCCTGCAGCGATGGATCAGTACGGTGAGGAGCTGTCATGGGGCCTGACAGAGAGAATGGAGCTGGTGATAGCAGCAGAGCAGGCTCCACAAAGGAGGCTGCTGCCACGGATGTGGCCTGCTCTGAGCTGGGCCTAGGACAGTGCATGGTGGGAAATGGGGCAGTGGTGCAGAAGCTCTTATTCTCCCAGAGCCAACTGTCCTGTGCTCTGTTACAGGATCTTTGGGCTGCTGGAGGCTGCTCGGAAGTTGGTGCTGGTGGCAGAGTCTTTTCACCATGAGCGCTGTGTGCTGAAGGTGGAGGCGTTCCTGCACACACAGGCAGGAGGGGAGAGGTGAGCCCTGAATGCTAGGCTGCAACTGATTTGTTCTGGGGAGAAATGTTTGTCCTCACAGGGATGGCAGCTCAGCAGGCAGAGGGGCTGCCACTTCTGTGGATCGTAAGTGGGGACCCTCATGGCTGCAGCCAGMCTCCCCCTACACCTCCCTTCCAGGAGGCACCTCCTGTGCAGTGCAGCCACTGACGGCAGCGTTGTCTTCTGGGACATCACCAGCACCATTGCGGATGCGGCAGATGCCCTGCACAAAGCAGAGGGAGAGATGCAGCCCCTGGGTAGGTGTCACTGCCACGGTTCCTCTGCTCCCTCTGACCAAGGTGAGTGATGCTCTTTTGACCAAGCCTGTTTTCCCAGCCCTGGATGCCCCGCTGGTCACTGTCATGGCCCACAGCTGCGGTGTGAACAGCCTCCACATCCATGAGACGCCTGAGGGGCAGTACCTAGTGGCCAGTGGCAGCGATGATGGCTCCATCCATGTCTGCCTGCTGGARGTGGCCCTGGGCAGGGGTGAGGCTGCAGCAGGGACCTGCCTGGATGTCCTACAGCGGGTGTCCAGGCCTTGTGCCCACGCTGCCCACGTGACGGGGATCCGGGTGCTGCGGCCAGACCTGCTGCTTTCTGCCTCRGTGGACCAGCGCCTGACACTGTGGAATCTGCACCAAGGCGAGCTGGTTCCCCTCAGCACCACCTTCTTCCACGTGCCTGATCTGGCYGAGCTGGACTACTGGGAGGTGGCGGAGGCTGGGGGTGAGCTGCGATWYTACTGYGTGCTCTGTGGGCAGGGCCTGGAGMTGCTGTGTGGTACAGYYCCYTCTGAASCCCCTCCACAAGAGGCTCCCTGCTAATGTGGAAGGTGTGTGATGCATCCCGGTCCCTGCCTGCATTAGGAAGGCACCCTGCACCTGGGCTCTGCCCATCACTGTGGTCCCTGCCCACAGCCTGCACACTGATGKGTCCCATCCTGACGGGACAGGCATGCTTGGCCTCTTTAGGGGCAGCATAGCCATGGCTGGGGTGCTCAAGGCTGGTGRTCTTAGGGAAGAAGGCTGATAGGAACCCACCTGGATAAGCCTGTGGCTCCTCAGGGAGCAATGAAGTGGGGCTGTTGGTCCCCTCTGCCCAGGAGAAGCCCAGGTGTGAAGGACCTCTGTCTGTGCTTTCCAGCCCTAGTCTCAGAGAACTTTGCTTTGGATAGCACTGAGGACAGAGCCTGGCTCTGGCAGCTTGAGAGCAGGGGCTCAGGAAGGGTCAAGGTGCTGGTGTGACACATGGTGGCCTGCAGCCTTRTGTGCCGTGGGACAGAGCCCTGTGCAACAACCCTGATGCTGCAGTTCTGAGGATGGTGCTGAAATGCACAGGGACACTGATCCTCCACAGCAGCATGCTGTAGGGTGAAGAGTGGCTGCCCCCAACTGCCCCCCTCTCTCAGGCCAAGTGGGTTGTTCCTCTGCAGCCCCAGGACAGTCAGAGCAAAGGAAGGACAAAACCCTGAGGTCAGACACACGAGCGTTTGTCCAGCAAYACATGTATTGGGCCCCAGTACTGGGGCTTGGCTCAGAGCCCAAAAGGAGCCTGGAGCCTCTGGAGCTCCCTGCCAGCATGGAGCAACCTTCAATAAACAGTTTTAAGGGAAGTGAAGTTGGTGTCTGGCTTTGTCGGGTCGGGTCCCTGATGCCACTTCCACAGTACATCCCGCTCAGCCTCTGGGGTGCCACAGAAGCCTTTTCCCCTTCTGCTGCTGTGGATGTGGAGGGGCACCCATGTYCCACACTGGACACAACTGCAGGAAGACCAAGCCCCCAACACCACAGACCATGGGAGGGGAAGCATCTGCCTGGCACTGGGGCAGCCCCGGGCCCTGCCAGGAGAATRTGCCCTGTTCTCCCACACACAGTGTGGTGTGCAGGTGACTTGTACGCTTTGGCACAGCACAACTCTTCAGGGGTGGCTCAGATCTGGCTGAGAGGAGGGAGGTGAAGAGTTGCCAGTGCACTGTGGAACACATCCCTCACTGCTCCCAGCAGCCGGAGGCGGGCAAACATCTGGTCAAAGAGGTGAGGAAATGGCTCCTGCAGAGCGAAAGGAGACAATCTGGGCCTGGTGACTAAACTGCCCCTCAACCCTACAGCCACACTGTGGGCTGCCTCTGTACCCTTGGAGACTGGGGTAGGGGACATCACACTGCTGCCACCATTCCCCACATGGCTGCGCCCCAAGGACTGCAGTGCAGCTCCCAAGGACTACAAGGCCACAAGACAACACCCAACTCACCCCCAGGACATGCACCCGGTTGTAGTAGGAGCTGAAATCCATGCTGAGCTGGATCAGAAACTTACACACCTGCAAGGCAGAGACATTCTGATGGTACAGTGAATTCTGGCTGGTCTTGAGCCTTTATCCACCCCAAGCACAGCAGGGGTATTGCAGTCCATTCTGTCAGCACCAGCCTGGTGTCGCTCACCAGTGGGCAGCACCTGCTGGCATGGAGCTTTGCCCTAGGCTGGGACTGCTGGAGCAGCACCCATGGGTGCTATGGCATGTGGCACTTACTGTCTCTGTGTTGGCAGTGATCCGGATCCCCTTGGAGGGCAGGGGCAGTTGTGCTGCCTGCTGCAGGACTTCAGGGAAGGGTAGGAGATAGTTGAAAAGCAGGAGCCATTCGCCCTGTGAAGGGATTACCTGTTTCAGTATCAGATCCTCTTGGGCCAGTAGCATCCATCACCAGAGCTGAGGGTACACATGCCCCCATTCCTCCTCTCAGCACTCACCTCTTCTCGGAGGCAGGAGAAGTTCAGTTCAGACACTGGTGGCAGAGGTGGGTACGTGCCTGGAAAGCAGAGAGACCAYTGTGCCCAAAGAAGCCCCTGTGGCTCCAGGAGTGGCTGTCAGAGGACGGTGGTGGAGCTGGTGCTCACCCTGCTCCACAGCTCGCTSGAAGGAGTCAAAGAGCGTGGCCAGCCTGGCACAGTTGTACATCACAAAGGCGCCGCTCTTCGTTCCCTTCGTGGAAATGCTGTTATTCTCCAGGTCCAGGGTGATCTGAAGGGAGGAAGAAGTCACAGTCCAGGCTGCTCAGCACAGATCTSCTCTGCTGTTCCTGCCAGCCCTGGCTCCATGCAAGCTGCTGTCCTACCTGACTCCGGTGAGCAGTGCTCAGCATCTCAAACCTGATGGCAGCCACTGTCAGGGTATCAATCACCTCTGTCCAGGCCTCATCTGTGGAGAATGTTGGTGGCATCATGCACAGCTTGCTCCATTCCCATGTASTGACACACCCAGCACCCAGGACACCCCTGCCAGGGCCAGGTATTTCAGTAGTAGCTGCAGACCATCACACCACTGTCCCTGGCTCCCATCGGAAGGAGCTGTTCTACACCAGTGYCCTGGATGTTTAGATGCTGTGCCAAAGCAAGGGCAGCACCTGGCTCAGTCCTGGAGGGGAGAAGGAGCACCCTACAGGGGTGCAGTCCCCACTGCTGCAGACTCATGAGAGCAATGGAAATAGGATGGAGCAGCATCCACACACATAGCCCAAAGCCCCTCACCTTCTGCAAGCTCCCCATACTTCATCACAGAGGCTTCATACATCTGGCGCTTTCGGAGCCTGGGAGAAACACAGACACGCTGAGCTGGCCCATGGGGAGCCTTGGCAGGAGAGAGAGAGCAGCAAGTGCCTTGCACACCAACTTACTGGAAGTACTGGTCTGCCCCAATGCTTGATGAGGGGTTGGTCACCTTGACTGGCCCACAGATCAGGTGTTTCTGAAAGACAGAGGAGAGGCTGAGGCTGGGAACTGAATGAAATCCAGCCCTGTACTAAWCCTAGTTCTGAGCTAAGGATGGATGCTGGGGGCCACACTGAGGAGGTCAGAGGTTACTCACCTGCAAAGCTGTATGGGCTCCCGGATCCAAAATCCTCCAGAGCACATCCAGCTGCTGCTGCTGGAATTCCTCCTCACAGTTCACCACATGCACAATGCTGCAGCAACTGCTCTGGCCTTCAGCCTGCAGCAGAGCACAACAGGGAACTCAGTATTATTGCCTGGCAGAAGGRAAGGATATTTGGGAAGCAAGAGGCAGGCGGTGCCATGGGGTCACTCACTAGGCACTGCTGAACAGCTTCTTGCAGCTCAGCCACAGCCTGCAGCATCGCCTCTGTCACTGAAAGAAAGAGGTACACATAGTGGACACAGGGTTCTCCATTCCCTGCCATCCCACACCATCAGGTCTGCCCCAGGTTCGAACCAGACTGAAGGGGAGTAAGAGGGGAAAGGGTGTGTCCAACTCCCCCTTACTTTCGTTAAAAAACAACTGAAATAAAAAGGAAACAGGCCTGTTTACACCCATTCAGCCCCCACTGCCACACCTGAGCTGCTGTACACATGAGGCTCACCGAGAAGCACATCCAGATTGGGGTCATAGCCCACCAAGTGCTGCTGCTCCACGAAGCTCYTTAGGTGCACCTTGCAGATGACACCCTCGGCTGAGCCTGGTCCCTGCTCACAGGCTGTGGCACAGGAGCACTGACCCAGCGCTGCCTTCAAGGCCGAGACGGCGTCAGGGAGGGACGAGCAACCRGAGCCGGAGGGCCAGTCGATGCGGAGCTGCCGCAGGACCTCCCGATTCCTCTCCTCGTTGAGGGCAGGGACCAGGCAGACATCGACCCTGCGAGAGAGGGCAAGACAAGCGCTGGGATCGGCGGACGCTGTGGCGCGGGGCTGGGAGCGGAGCAGGACGGAACGCAGGCACTCACCCTTGGGCGCGCAGCAGCTGCGCCAGGTGGTCAGCAAGCAGGATGGAGCGGAGATGGCGGRGCCGCAGGGCAGCGGGGCCACGCAGGGCCGGGCAGTGCAAAACCACGCAGCTCGTCCGCGCCCCCTCCGTGGGGCAGTCGGGGCCGGGCAGGGGCCCCAGCAGGCGCTGGAACGCCTCAGGGCGCCGCACCTGCACCGTCAGTCCCGCCGGCGTCTGCCGGCAAACCCGCAGCGGCAGCACTGCAGGGCCCCGCAGCGACGGCACCATCGACACGGCCTCGGGGGGCACCTGTGGGCGSAGGGTGAGGAGGGGTCCGGGCTGCGAGTGCACGGGGCAGCCGCGGCCCCTCCAGTGCCCGCAAATCCCCGCTCTCGACCGAGGCCCGYCCGTACCTACCTGCCCGCCGGGGAAGGCGGCGCTCAGCGCGGCCCGCGGGGCCAGGAAATCCCGGTGGCGCAGGTTGCGGGCGCCGCTCTCCTTCACCCAGAGCGCAGCGGGCCGCCCCAGTGCCTCGTTCAGCGCCCGCAGCGTCGCCGCCACCCGCGGGCGACCCTCGCCCGTCTCCATGGAAGTACAGCCGCCGCTTCCACTGCCACCACCGGAAACGGCATCACCGCCTGCCCCCCCGGTTCCGGCGAGCGGCCGCCATATTGGGCGCKGCGCTCCCGGGCGGCCATCTTTGTCACGGGCAGGGCGGGCCATCTTGGGGGAAACAGGCGAGGGGTCGCCATGTTGAGTGTGGCGGACAGCGGCCGCCGCCATGATCGGTGTGTCGGGCCAGGACCGAGACAGGTGGAGCCAGGCACCCCGAATGTCCGCGAGTCTCAGTCCCAACTCAGCCTCATCCCAGCACGGTCATTTGCTGTCACCCTGAGGTAGAGAGGTGTGAGTGGTGTCTCCTCCTCTCCAACACTGGGGAGCTCAGATCTAAAAGACTCAGAAACAGGGAGCAGAAGCCAGAGGCCGTGCTGGGGTCAGACAGGCTTGGGCAGGAACGGGCAGGGAGTGCAGCCCAGAGCATGGTTCTGCTGTCCCTGAGCTATTGCGGATGAGKGGCCCTGGGAGCAGGTGCAGCAGCCTGGACAGTGGTGGGAAGGGAGGTTTGGATGGGCTCGAAGGTGTGAGGCAGACCCCAGSTGTGGGCATGGTGTCAAGGCCAAACCCAAGGGCTTGGCTGGGCTGTGAGGCTGAGGAACACCAGCAGCACCCCATGGGCCCCCAGTGTGGCACAGCCATGAGCGGCTGTGGGTGCACACCCTGCAATGCCCTCCAAGCCTGCCCCAGTGGGCTGCTCCCCCATCCAGCACATGAGCAGTGTCTCGTTTATCAGCTCCAGGAAGAAGGAAGTGGAAGCGATTAGAACACGCCATTGYGGTCTTGATTACATCTGCAGAGCTGAGCTGTTCCACAGTGGTAGTTCAAGCACAGATCTGACAGAAGGCTCATGCTGCTGCCGGCTCCCCAACATGTGTGCCAAGGGCTGCTGAATTAGGGATAGGGCAAAGGTCCAGCACATCCCCAGCCCCATGGCATCGAGCCTGGTTGATGGGAGCAGGAATCCAAGAAGCGCCAAACCCCACCAGAGCATGCATCTCGAGGAGTTGGGGACCTCCCTCTCTACCCTGCCGTTCCTGCCCTGGGAGGCAGAGAGGGGGGAGCTCTGCCCGCAGGGCCCAAACCGGTTCCTCCAGGGCTTGTGTGCAAGGGGGAAAAGGCGGGGAGCAGGATGAGGGCAGGTMCTGCTGCATGGGCTCTTCCAGGAACACAACAACTTGTTTTGGGGCTCCTCAGGCAGCTGCAGCCCACAGCCAGTGAAAATCTRTATCCCGGGGGCAAGAGCGGAGACATCCCCCAGCCACGCCATGGTGGGGTGCTCCCTGCACCACCCACAGCCAAGAGGTGATCTGAGAATCGCTGCTCACACCAGACCAACTGCTGACTGTCCGCAGGGCAGGAGCTGCCCAGGACCCCTGCCCAGCCAGGGGGATGTGCTGGCCCYTGTGTCCCCGCTCAAGGTGGGCCCAGGCTGGATCCATCCACATCCCCAGAGTGTCCCCCGCAGCCACCCACGTGGGCCCTGGCAGCACAGCGGCCTGGGGAGGGTTCTCGGAGGTGCCGAAAGAGCTTTGGACAGACACGACATCCCCGATGGCTCTCTGGCTGCCYGCTCAGCGGGAGTGATCGTGTCATTCCAAAGCCGTCTCTCTCCAGGGGTTGGATCCTGCCCACCCTGCAGGCACTGGGCTGCTGCGGGAGCCAGGGAGAGCCGGCACGGGCAGGAAGTTTGGCAGTATCGCAGTCTGCACCACCCTGCAGCAGGTGACCACATCCACCCTGTGGCCAAGCAGCCATGCTCCCCCTGCTCCCCCAGGAAACCAGCTGCTATTTTTAGCTGCTAGGGGCAGAAGAAACAGGAAAAGAACCAGCCCGGTGCAGGGGCTGAGCCACGAGGCTGGGCACCGGTGATCCCCCATCCCGATCCCGGTTTCTCGCAGTGCGGCTGCAGGCGCTGCCCCAGCCCTGGGAGGGGTTGGAATGGGACACGCGGCTCTTGCCCCAGCACAGGGTGGTGGGCAGGMGCGGGGGGCATGTGGGGCGAGGCGGGGGCGGGAGCGCAGGTAACGAAACCCCACGGCAGCTGGGCACAGCGGGGACAGCTGCTTTTGGGATTCCGTTGCCCGCGCTGGCACCGCGGAGGGATGGGCACGGGTACCACGGCCATGCCACTCCGATCCTGGGGCAGTCGGTGGGTCAAGAGGGGAGAGGGCGACTTACCGGCGGGGACCGGGATGGAGGTGATGCGTGCGAGCCGCCGCCGGGCCGTTGTGACCGGGGGTGCCGGCAAAACCCGGGGTTGTGCTGCTGGCTCCCCCCGCGCTGTGGGCCGGGTGCCAAGGGGAGGGCGGCACGGCCGAGCCAAAAGGAAACGGCTCCGAACAAAGCCCCGGTGTGGCTGGAGCAACTGGTGCCAGCCCATCAGCCGCAGACGGGGCCCGGAAACACGAGCCGTTCCCCAGGGGAGGGCACCTGCCCCGGCACCTGCGCCCAGAGGCGGCTCGGCCCCGCCGGCCCCGCCGCTGCCAGCGCACCCAGCCCCCGGTCCCGGCGAGGAGCCCTCGGCAYCGCCGTGAGGGGAACTGAAACCGTGTGGGGAATCCCACCGGCCCCAGGCGGTGTCGCTCGGGGATCCCTGGCACCCTGCGCTGGCCGAGGTTGCCAGGCTGCCGGCTGTGAGAGTTCCTGATGCCTCTGGCACGGCACGGTGGCGGGAAATGCCCCGCCGCCACTGCCGGAGAGCTTCCCGGTGGCCCCCGCAGTGTGAGGCTCCGGCTGGCCCTGGGTGGGTGGCATAGGTGGGGGACGTGCGTCCCCTGCCCCAGGGCACCTCTGAGCCCGCCGTGACACCGGCCTCAGAGTATGGCAGGAGGAGCGGGGAGAGTGCAGCGGGAGGTCCCGGCGGCGGCTCGGGGGTTTCAGCCCCGMCTGGCAGCAACCAACCGCAGTGGGGCACACGGGGAACCGGGACGCCGTGCCGAGCCTAGGGCAGCCCCGGGGCACCGGGGGACCGAGCCAGGAGCGCAGCCGAGCCCCGGTCCCGTTCCCTCCCGCCCGGGGAGCCGCCCGCTCCCCTCTCACCTCCGGCCCCGCAGCCTTCAGCACAGCAGCCCGGRCGGGTCTGCAGCCCCTCCCGGCGGCGGGGTCGGGGAGGCTCCGATGGGACCCTCCGCGCCCCGCTCCCGCCGTGCCGCTCCTGCCCCGCCGCTTTCGCTTTCGCTCCGGCGCCCACCCCGGAGCTGCAGGGCGGAGCGCACTCGGGCCCGAGGGCGGTGATTGTGTGAGTGTCACTGCCCTCCCGCCCCTCGGGACCAGCGGGCGGGGGGACACCGAGGRGTCCCCAGGAGCCCCGGCTCGACCCCGCTGTCCCGTGGCGCGGTGCCGGCCCCGGCCGCTGGGGGGCGGTAGCGGCGGGGGCGGGGCCGCTCGGCGGTTCCGGCGGGGTCGCGGCCATGGCGGCGGTGGCGGCGCTGCGCCGGTTCGTGCCGGCGGTGGCGCGGGCGGCGGGCAGGTACCGGCACCGGCAACCGGCACCGCGGCCGCTTTGGCACCGGGGGCGCTGCCTGTGGGGTACCGTGAGGTCTCCGGGGGGTGTCAGTGCGCCCCGCGTGTCCCAGCTGCTCCATGTCCCCGGCAGGGCGCCATGCCGCGGTCACCGGCTCACGCCGGCGGATGATGAGATGTACCAACGGACACGGGTGATGGTGCTGGAGCCGGAATCCCCCAACATCATGTTTATCGAGGGCTACAGCACCCGCGGCTTCACCATCAGCGGAGACGTGGTGGTGGGACCGTGCGCCGTCCTGCCCCGCAGCATCCTCCAGTGGAACGTGAGTGCCGGGGGCGGGGCGGGGGCTGCCGGTCCCCACCGCGCACCGGGGACTGCCCCGCTCAACGCCAGCCGTGTCCCGCAGGTTGGCTCCCACCGGGACATCTCGCACGAGAGCCTGTCGCTGTTCCGGCTGCTGGAGCCCAAGATAGGTACGTGGGGCAGAGAGGGCTCGGGCTGCCCCCCTTGGGGCTGCTGTCGGGGCGGCTGAGCGGGAGCCGCTGGTCCCTGCAGGAGGGGCAGGGCCGGGCCGAGGCAGCTCGAGTGCTGCCCTGCCAACCCTTGTCGTGCCCTGCTTACAGAGATCCTGGTGCTGGGCACAGGGGACAGGGTGGAGCGGCTTCACCCTGCCACCCTGAAGCAGATGCGAGAGTGCGGGATTGCTGTGGAGGTGCAGGACACGGTAAGGAGGGGTGAGCACTCACAACACCCCACTGAAAGGAAGGGAGGGAGGGAGGGGGTCCATGTAACTTGTGGGGAAGGGCCGAGTCTCTACTTGAGGGCTGGAGCTTCACTCCCTTTCCTATTCACAGGCGAATGCATGTGCAACTTTCAACTTCCTAATGAATGAAAGGCGCATAGTGGCTGCTGGGCTCATCCCTCCACGGGGCACCTACGGGGTGTAGGCACTGCCTGYCATGCCCGTGGGCTGAGTGGTTCTTCTGCCTGCCTGAAAGCCCCAAGGGTCACCACTCTCAACTGAGAAATGYTCCAGACTGATCTCTGGAGCTGTGAGGAGGGCTGTGAGATACATGGGCTTAGCTCTGCCCTACAGTCTCTGGCTTCTCAGCCTCCCTGCCCAGTCTGTGCTGGGGACTGTGGGGCACAGCACAAGGGTTTGCTGGCAGAATTGCTCCCACAGCCATGCTGAGGTCATGGCCCACACCTTGACAGCAAGAAGCCTTACTCCAAGGCAAGATGGAGTGAGCTGTACACCCCCGAGCACATCTGGGGCTCCAGAGGAAAATAAATGTAAATATGAAGTACAAGAGATTGTGTGGTGGTTTGTGCACAATACTGTGAGGCTGTAACACACTGACGGGGCATATGCTCACGCTGGGCACTGGGCAGCACATGTGGTGCTGGGCTGCCACATGCCAGCAGCTCCCTGAGCACAGCCAGCACCAGCAACTGGTGTGTCCCAGCTGGTGCTGGCCTGGCTTGGGCACTCCCATGCGGTTTTGTRCCACCCCAGTATCCATGTCCCTTGGATAGCCTCACATTGCAGTTGGTCCAAGGGGGCTGCACTGCCTCTCCTTGGAGCCTCAGCTCCAGCGGGGGATATGGAGAGRGTCACTGTCCTGTCCCCACACTGGTTCATGGTCAGGGATGTCACCCCTTGGGAAGGGGGTTATGTGTATCTAATGGAAGCCTCGTGCCCTCAACTGTGCCCCCCTCTGTCCCCACGTGAAGACAGGCAAGTGGCAAGGTTAGGGTACAGGTAGCTCTGCCTAATATGTGTGTTAATGAGTGTGCTAACACTGATATCATGACAGTGTAGTTCAAGGTTCTGGTTTTAACGTGTAAATCCAATCTGACAGCCCCAAACCACTGATGGTAAACACAATGCTCTTCAGCAGGAGTGACATGTGGGACCTGTACGACTGATACATGTGTAAAATGTTTCTCTCCTGGCACTGCAAGCACAGGTAACCTGCCAAGACAGGGAGGTTAGCACTGCTCAGGCCTGCAGAAAWGCAGACCAGCTCCTCTGCAACTTGTACCCCTCCCAGTCATTGCCCACCTTTTAGCAAACAATCGCTCTCTGGAGCCTGGGCAGGAGTCCACAGTGAGCAGCCCAGGAGAGTGCAGCCACTGGGCCTGGAGGTGTGGCAACTACAAGAAGTTTAGGGAAAGGAGAAATGTAGCAGCTGGACCAGGAATGGGGTCCTGTGGCACCCTGGCAGCCCCAGGAGGAGATAATGGCCCTGTAAAACTCTTTGCTTTCTTGCCCAGCAGCCCAGCCCTTGTTTCCTGCTCTCAGGAAGGGTTTTTAAAGAAGCCACGCTGCATTACCCACTGAGCCCTGTCTCAGGGCTCACCCCTCCCTGTTGCCCTTCACATGCACACAGTCCCTTCCAGGGTTATCAGCTGCACCTGAGGGTGTGGGAAGCACGGGACAGAGCCAAGGAAGGAGCAAGGGAGGTAAAGGAGGAAGAGGGGCTCCAGGCTGACACCAACTGCACATATTTTCTTTTTTTTTTATTGTAAAACATGGCCAACATGTACAAGGCTCCAGCCCAGGATCACAGCTCCCAGGTGACCCAGGTGGGCCTCACGGGTGGTCAGAAAGCAGCCAAGGGACAGCGGGAGCTCCAGGCAGCCCAGAATAATGGCACTTCTGCAGCAAGAGCAGCTCCCACGCGGAGCAGCGTAGGACTGAGTGGCACAAGGACAGACACAGAYGGATCTCCTTCAGAACAGGCGCTTCTCGTACCTGCCAGGGAAGCAGCACCAGAGAGCCCCTTTACTGACCCACCTCACCCAGGGCACAAAGGTGCAGTAAGGGATGGTTCCTGACAGCCCATGAAGGGGAACAGCCCCAGCACTCTGACAGGCCACAGCTCAGCCCAGCTGCACACCAAGCCAAGGGCATGGCAGCTGAGGCACGGGGGTGGCTGTTCCTGACCCCCCGAGGTGACAAGGATCCTGCCAGAACTTACGAGTGGAGGCCGTGCACCCCTCCTTCCACCTGGGCAGATGTCGTCCTCTTCTCAAATTTCAGCTCTCCRGAGTACATCATGGCTCTGAGGGGGAAGGGCACCTGTCACGAGCCCGGCAGAGTCCAGAGAAGACCATGCTCTGGCACATGTTCAGCTGGAACAGCTGGGATGAGGGTCACTGGTTCATCCAGCTGTGGCCGACATGGTTTTGCTGTGCTCCCAAGAGCCAGGCTAAGTAATGTCACCCAAACATTTTGAGCCCAGCCAGCTGAATATGCCCCAGAAGATCACACTCCTGCATCCCTGGGGCTGGCAGATCTGTGATGCAGTGCCAGGGAGATGAGGGAAGAGGGCTACAGACTGTCCAGAACGTATCACAGCTTGAGTACAGCTGCCCAGGGACTCCAGACAGCAGCACTGTGACCTAATCAGAGTACAGGCATGGGGAAGCACTCACCGGACTTGGGTCAGGCTCTTGGCACCAATATCCTGGCAGGAATGCTGGATCCCAGCAATTAGGTATGGAATGAATTTATGGATAGAGCCCTTGTCTTGCACTGCACCGGAGACACCCTGGGCCACTTTGATTTTGTCTGTCTCACTGCATGAAAGCACAAATCAAGGATGTTTGTGAAGCAGAGAAGCCCTAAAAGCTTGATCTGCTGCCCCAAAGCACCATCTCTTACCTGAAATACCGATTCTGGCTGCCCAAGTTCTTGTCCATGGCATCTAGGGAGCCCATGCCACGGTATTTCTTCAGCCTGATGCCATCTGAGAAGAAGTACTCRCCTGGCGCTTCCGTGGTGGCAGCCAGGAGAGAGCCCATCATCACTGGCATGAGAGATCACCAGGAACAGCATGTCAGTGGCAGCAAAACCCCTCAGGGTCCCTGGGYACAGCACTGGCTGCAGCCCCCGTGCCCCCAGCCACCTGCAGAGTGGTGCCATATGGAAACACTGCCCAGGAGACTCCGACAATGGTGCTCACCTGTGGAGGCCCCAAGTGCCAGGGCCTTGGCRATGTGCCCAACTGTCTGGATCCCTCCGTCGGCGATCACGGGGACGCCGAACCTCCTGGCGTACTCGGACACYTTGTACACCGCGGTGGCCTGGGGACGGCCGCACGCCAGCACTGCGGGACAGAGCACACACAGGGTCAGCTCCACGCAGCAGCAYGTCCCCGTCCCAGCAGGCCCTTTCAGGCTTCAGCACACACATGCTCCAGCACTCAGAACGCACAAATCCCTGGGTGCTCCTTCCCTAGGCTGAATTGCAAGAGGAGCAGATGCCTGGGAGATGCCTGCTGGGACATCTTCACAGCCCTTGGCTGCAAAAAGCTGTGGGTGACCTTGGGACTGGGGTCTTGGATTGGATGCCTGGGATCAGACAAGACTCGTGGCTCATCCTGGTGCACGGTAGACGTATGGAGCTTGGGAAGGAAAAAAAGCAAAGTCCAAAAGCTCCTCTCCAGAGCATCCCTGGCATGTAGCCATGTCCCACTGCTCGCTCTCTCCTAGAGCTGCCAGACCCGTTCTCCATGTACCCAGCAGCTGTATGATGTACCTCTTGAATGGAAAGGCAGCTGGCTGGGAGAGAGCTCATGTGTCTGTATATGGTATAGATACAGATATATCTATACATACAGCTCTGCATACACACAATGAACACACATGCAGCAGTGGAAAAGGAAACGGGCAGATTGGTTTGATAATAATTTATCTTCCTGCYCTGCAATGTAGCAAGGATTCCGTCAAGTTTAGCTGCCCCATGGGGAAGGAGTTAYTAGCTTTGGATTTACTTGTTCTTCCCAGTTGGTAGTAGTGAAGAGGCCTCTGTTATGTGAGGAAAACCAGCACAAGTCATCTCTTGTAACACTTGTCAGCCACAAGCATGCAAGAACACAGAGGTACGCTTCTCTCAGGGAGACTTCCCCACAATCAACTGGAAGCCTTTTCTCCAGTCATGGTTAGTCCCATACACTGGGTAAGATTGAGGCCATGCAGGATTAGTACTTTGGAGTGTGAACTCCAGGTGTGGTTCAGCCTGCATGGCAGCAGTGCTGGCAGCACATCCCTGGCAGAGGCCTGCTGGGGCCAGGAGGCTGCAGTTTCTCTGCTGCCAGCACTCAGCAGCAGCTGCTGAGAGAGGGAAGCCAGACTCCAGGCTGAGATTGTGGAAGAACTTAAATATAATCAGACCCCAGCGTTCAGCACAGGCTCAGCCAGCCAGGGAGAGGCTGCCAGTTTTATCATCAGTGCCCTTAAAGAGATGGTCTCACTCAGTTCTGCACTGCTGAAGGCCATACTGCACTGCAAAATGCTGCCAGGGAAGAACTCTGTGGAAAGAAACACCCATTTCTGGAGGGTCCCGARTCCAGGATCTATGGGATTGTGCCATAGGCAGTGCAGGGCCTGCAGAAACCTCTCAAGTGCAACCACAGAGACCAGCCCTTTAAGGCACAGCTTGGCTCAGGGCCCCTGAGAGTGTCACACCGCTCCGACTGTCCCAGGGCCCGGTGCCACAGCCCCGCAGTGCAGGCTTCCCAAGCGGGGTTCCAAGCACACACACATCACAGTCAGGGTGAGGGTTTGTCCCTTTTAGTGYATTGGCAAAGGGTGGCCCTGCGAGATCATCTGCTAGAGAAAACCTTCCAGGATCTTCAAGAGAAACCTCTCCCTTTGAGGTGTGTCAGAACTAGGAGGAAGGACAAAGCCTAAGGCTTGCCAGGCAGGGGCTGCTTGATCTGGTAGCATCAGAGCAGAGAACGCTGTCCCCTGTGCTGRGCAGGCAAGAGCCCCTTCTCTCCAAAGGAATTGGTAGGGAAAGATGGAATGCAGCTGCCAAGGTGCTTGTGTACAGTGAAGCCCCTCTGTAACCCAGGGGAGCCAGCTCCATGGGAAGCTTGGCCAGTGCTCAACTTTCCCAGAACTAGGGCTACATTTTGAGCACGATGGAGGCCTGCTCAAGGATCACCTCTCAGCACTGGATCAGCAGGAAGCATGCCTGGCTAGGGATTCAGAAGGTGCAGTCAGAAAGCCCAGTCAGGCTCCTAACTGGATTTTGGAGTGGAGAGAGGACAGTTCCCTCAGCTTGGACAGTTCARATTTTGCTTTAGGAAATAAGAAAGGCTTCTCAGATTTCATTTCAGATTCAAAACCAGTATCCAAAGCCACAAAACCCCAAGTGCATCTACAGCTAAATTATTCTCAAACAAGCAGTAGGGCCATGTGCAGCCAAATCAGGGTCCTGCTTCAAGA